TCCTCAAAGCTGTGTGCAAGGGCCTTTCCCAGAGCTGGAACCTTTCCCGATCCTCATGCCAGAGCCTTTCCTGAGCCCCAGAACCTTCCCTGACCCCCGGTGAGCATTGGCCCCCTTCCTTCCAGCACCGTTTTGGTCTCTGCGGTTTGACATTTTTCTCTTGCTCTGTCTGCCTCCCTCACCCGCAGTGAGTCCCAGACACCCAGGGACCAAGTCTTACTTCTCCTTCCTCCTGGCCTGGGGGCTGCCAGGAGCTGCATGGATGGCTGGTGATGGGGTAACTGAAGCTGTTTGTACTCTCAAGGGGAGAAGGTACGGGAGGGACCTGAGCCCCTGGACACAGCCTGGGGGCAGGGTAGCCTGGGGCGCTGGGCAAGGACTGCCCATCTCCTGCAAGGACGGGGGCTGGGCTATGACAAGACTGTAATAATAATAATGACAGTGATAGTAATGATGATAACCATGCCGTAATGATCGGGACAATAATAAGTAGAGTCATCATCGTAAGAATAGCTCACATGCTTTGCGCCAGGTGCTTTATGTGTGTCAATTCATTCCATCCTCCCAGCCACCCTGTGAGTAGTTACTATTATTTCCTCATTTCACAGATCAGGAAACGGAAGGTGGGAGGGATCAAACAACCTGGCCCTCAGACAGCTGGTACACAGGAGAGCTGGAGTCCGAGCTGATCCCAGGTGATCTGACGCTGAGACCTCAGTCACTGCAGTAGTACCATCCATGTGTGAAGGGAATCCCCCACCCACACCAGGGCACTGAAGGGTTAGGCAATCCTATAAGTCAGGATGGGCTTGTATCTGGCACCCCCAAAATAGTGGGCATGGACTTTGTGGTCATTTATTCCAGTATTTTTTAAACTTTTAAACCCACAGCCCATAGACATAACAACAGGAGTATGTTTGTGTTCAACAAATGCTTATTGTGTGCCAACTGTGTGCTGGACATGGCGCTAGATGCTGGGAATACAACAGTGAACAAAACAGACAAAAATACCTGCCCTTGTGAAGCTTATATTCTAGTAGAGGAGATAGACAGTAAAATAAATAAAATATATAGCATGTCACATGCTGATAAGGGCCATGGAGAAAAACAACATAGGCAGAGCTCATAGAGAGTCTCAGGGTGTCCTACACAGCCTCACTGAGAGATGGCCCATAGCAAAGACCTGAAGGAGGTGAGAGCAGGAGGAAATATCCAGGGGAAGAACGTTCTAGGCCCTGAGACTGCAAGTGCAAAGGTCTTGAGGCGGGAGCTGATCTGGTGCATTCATGGTACAGCAAGGAGATCAGCATGGGGGGAGTTTAGGGAGCGAGGGGAGAGCGGGACTCTGCGCACACACACGTGCACTCACGTGCACAAGCTATAACAGAAACCGAAGTGTCGAGATAGTATGGAAATCATACCAAATGTGGTTTCATTAATATAACACAATAGTTTTAAACATCAGAAATAATTCAATACCAAATGTATTTTACTTGGTATTGTAATACCAAAAGTAATACCCAGACGTGCACAAGCTATAACAGAAACCGAAGTGTCGAGATAGTATGGAAATCATACCAAATGTGGTTTCATTAATATAACACAATAGTTCTAAACACCAGAAATAATTCAATACCAAATGTATTTTACTTGGTATTGTAATACCAAAAGTAATACCCAGTGTGATTTTATTAATATTACAGCACAATATTTGTATATGTCTGAAACAGGCAATTCAAACACAAAATAAAATGCTGATCGGAACCCCCCTCATAGAATTAGTGAGCCACTAGTGGGTTGAGAACTGAAATTTGAAAACCTCCAATCCAGATTCCCACTTGACCCCTGTATTTCCTTTGTTAATGTGTCATCAAGGGCCAGAACGTCCAAGGGCCCACGCCACTTCCAGGAAGCAGCAGGGCTTTGTAGAAAGAGTATATAATGTGAATGGAGCTGGGTTCACATCTGGCCCCTCACTGATTGGCACCTCTCAATCTCCAGGGCCTCATTGTAGAAAATGGGGGTGGTTGTGAGGCTTCAGCAAGAAGTTGTCTGGGGCATGTTTCAGACACCCATGAGTGTTTGTTTCCACACCTGGGGAAGGAGCACGTGCCACAGGCCACGTCACCATCTAGAGGAGTCCACCACTCCTGATGCTGGCCCGTGGGATCCCTAGATCTCCCTGGAAGAGGGACTAGGTCCCCACCTCAGTGGCCTCCACCTGGTTATCATCCCTCAGAGGCAGCTGGGAACTCTCACCCTGGGGAGGGAAGGTGCGTTCTGAGCTTCTGCTGTAGTTGAGCCCCTAAGGAAAGGGTTTCTTGAATTTGATACATTTCCACCTAAAATATTCTGCTTTGGGAACCTCGTTGTCACTGAGAGGGAGGGATTGGATTTTTCTGATCAGGGAGATTGTTGGAATCACATATGTCCGCCTGTCCACCCAAAGGCCCATCCATTCTTCTCTCTGTTCCATTCACCTCCTCATCTGTTCACGCATTGATCCGCC